ATTGATATATTCCTCCATGTTGTCCCTATTTACTCGAGTCACCGCTCTAAATTGATATATTCCTCCATGTTGTCCCTATTTACTTAAGTCACCGCGCTAAACTGATATATTCCTCCATATTGTCCCTGTTTACTTAAGTCACAACGCTAAATCTATATATTCCTCCATATTGTCCCTATTTACTCGAGTCACCGCTCTAGATTGATATATTCCTGAGGAAGTGAAACAAGTGGTAGAGCGCTTGAAGAATAATAAGGCAGCTGGAATAGATGAGATACCGTATGAGATGCATGTATAAGTATGGAGGTGAGAGTTCAATTGGCAGACTGACTGATCTTTTCAATGGTGTTTGGTCAAATGAGTGTGTACCTGATGCGTGGAATGAAAGTCGTGTTACCTTGCTTCACAAGGGTGGCCACAGGAGCAAAAAGGAACTTAAGAATTACAGACCGATTGCCCTGCTGACACCAGTGGTAAGATTTTCTGTGCGGTTATGAATGAGCGGATGCAAAGATGTATTAGGAACGAAAGAGTGGTGAAGAGCAAAATTGTTTTAGACATGACAGATGAGCAGAAGATAATATATATGCTGTGGATGAACTGATCGGGAAAATGAAAAGAAATAGAAAGAAAGTGTACTTGGCTTTCCTAGACATAGAAAAGGCATATGACCGGGTGGATAGCGAGCTCCTGTGTCAAACACTGAAAAAATTGGAATGAGTGAAAAATGTGTGAGGCTTGTGACAAGTATGTATGTGAATACTAGAGCAAAATATAGACTTGGGGATATTGAGACGGACTGGGTAAGGAGTAGGAGAGGCGTACGACAAGGCTGTGTCCGTCTCCGCTTCTCTTCAACTTCTACACAGAAGAGATGGCCACGAGGGCGAGGAGAATGGATGTTGGTGTGCGTGGAGGCGGCGAAAGGGTAAAAATGCTTCTGTATGCTGATGATGCTGTGATTATTAGTGGAAATAGCGAAGAATTACAAAGTATGCTGGACTGTGTGACTGAGTATGGGAGGGACTTTAATGTGCGATTCAGTGCAGAGAAGAGCCAAGTACTTGTTGTGAATGGACCGGTTGAGGATATAAGCAGAGTGTGGATGTTGGGAGGGAATGAGATCGTTAGGACAAATGAGTATAAGTACTTAGGTATGTGTGCGGACCATGAAGGATGTCAGAGAACAAAGGCCGAGAATCTGAGTAAGACGAACAAATGGTTGGGTATACTTGAAAGTGCAGCAAAAGTGAGAGCGAGTAAGTATGAAGTACTGAGGGAAGTGTTGAAGAGTGTGGCAGTGCCTAGTATTATGTATAGATTGGATGTGATAGCATACAGTGATGGTGAGCTAGATATATTGGAATTGGTACAGAATAGAGTTGCGAGATTGGCATTAGGAGCCCCCAGGTTTACTGCGGTAGAGCCGTAGAGGCCCTGAGAGGAGACATGGGATGGAGTACCTTCAAGGAAAGAAGAATGAGAGCAGTTTTGAGGTGTAAAGTGAGACTTGAGCGAATGGACGATGAACGCTGGGCACAAAATATGTATATGTGGAACATGAAGGTGAGCAAATGGGCACGTAGATGGCTCTGGTGCGTAAGTGTGGTATGCATGAAGCATGGGCGCGCCAAAGACCCGCTGGGCCAAAAGACGAATGGGTGGTGACAGTACGGGGTGCGGTTGGGATAGAGTGGGATGAAAAAGAGTGGAAAAGAGAGATAAATAAGCGAGTGAAAGACTATATATGGGCTGAAGGTGTGGAAGCAAGGAATGGAGGCAAAGGGCACTCTAAGACTGTATCAGATGAAAGCGATTCCAAAATATGAATGTATGTATGATGGTAGTAGAGGTGGGGACCATCTGTTTCNACTACCATCTGGCCATCACTAGTGCTGACTAGTGCTGCAGCACTACCATCTGGCCATCACTAGTGCTGACTAGTGCTGCAGCACTACCATCTGGCCATCACTAGTGCTGACTAGTGCTGCAACACTACCATCTGGCCATCACTAGTGCTGACTAGTGCTGCAACACTACCATCTGGCCATCGCTGGTGCTGACTAGTGCTGCTGCAGCACTACCATCTGGCCATCACTAGTGCTGACTAGTGCTGCAGCACTACCATCTGGCCATCACTAGTGCTGACTAATGCTGCAGCACTACCATCTGGTCATCACTAGTGCTGCAGCACTACCATCTGGCCATCACTAGTCCTGACTAGTGCTGCTGCTCTCGCGGTCTGACGCCAAATCATCGCTACGTTGTCCCGCGAGGTACAAGCATTCAGAGAAATAAGTACAGCTTTGTCCAAATGTCGATGCGCCTACAGCTTCCATGTTAGTCATTGAGGCGTGTAGATTTCCCTTCTTCTGTACATTGAAGTGTACAAACTTAGTACACATTTAATAACAACATCGTTCGCTCTTCTTTCCCCAGTTACTGCAGAAACTATCGCAAATATTGCAGTCTATTATCCTTTATTTCTTCTTTTGTATTCAACAAACATCGAGATTTCGATGGCCCTGGATTGTTGATAACAAATTATCATCATATATTAAATTGTAATGATCATCATATATAAGATTATAAATGTTTTCAGACGAGGTCACTTCACTAGCGGCGCGCGGCTAGCGTCGTAAGATATGAACGCGGTTGTTCAATACATCGTGGCTTTTTTTTTTAATTCGTGAATGAATAACAGTTCGTGAATTTTGTTACCACCTGAACGTGAATAATGAGTGGATTATTGGATTCAACTGAAAGCAGATGAATCCACAGAATGGATATGCATGGCTGCGCGGACGGCTAGTCTACCGGCACTGCAGCGTGGCCTGGGGCTGTTACATTGCAAACTCATGTCTAGGTTCCATGTTATTATTCTAATTTAATAAGAATAATACGGCGATTGTTCTGCAAATGAATTACCACACGTGAGTAGTCTTACAAAATGAATTATTGAACGAAGGTAGTTTCGTCAAATGAATAATAAAACGTTTTCTGTTCAGCAAAATGAATTTCTATGCGTATGTAGTTTGGTATGTGAATAATACAAAGTGTGTATTTTTCCATGTATTAATGAGCTCTGTATATGAGCGCTAGTGAGCAGCGCACGCAGCACACAGGATGTGTAGCGTACACAGGCCTGCACTTCACACAAACACTAGGGCAATATACATCACAAACATGTATGAATAAAACCATAGCGGCACTGATGGCAATAACTGCAGTCTCAAGTCCACGGCAAAGTGATTTGACGAAACAAAATGGACTTGAACTTATCGAGTAAATGGACTTAAAGTAAACATTAAGTAAAGGCAAGAGAAAGCAATCGGCAAATAATGGCAGATAATTCATATTTTATTCATATTAAAATGAATATATATCGTAGACAAGCAAGGCTGATTGAATGATGAACGGCGCGTGAATGAGGGGTAGGAAAGTGTGAAGGAATATCATGAAGAACATCGCATACATTGTAAGTAGAATAATGAATGGAGCAGACCAGCGAAGACCAGATTCACTGAAATTGTTCTTTGGTTTACAATAAAAGATCATCAAAATTTCTAAAGTTTTGGTGGCAAAAAGTTTGGATAACTTCAAGTCCCTCGTTAAAAAGTTCACTCGATATGAAACAAGGAAATTCCGGTGCGGTAAACTTGGTGAAGAATCGTTGTTACATTAAGTAGAATAAGCACTAAAAAATTTATTAAGTTCCCGTATTAAGTTTTGTTGAGAGCTTGCCAAAGAAATCTAACAAATCATTGGCAGGAACAATTTTGCTGCATTCGTACGTGAATATTTACAAGTTCCTGAACAGAAATTGATATAAAAACCTCAAGAAAACAATACAAATCAAGTTCTGGTGTAAAGTTTAACGATTGTTTGGAGGTGAAGTTTCACAACATAAAATAATTCCTGAACTTTATCTAAAAAAAGTTGCGGAAGCGAACATGAGCGTGAGATTATCTCTGAGATTACAATCAAGATATTAAGATTAATATGAACTGAAATAATACGAGTTGGGTTGAAGATAACCCACTTGCACCACAACACGCGTGTGCTAAGCTGCGTTCATGAACCACCTCAAAAAAAAAAAACTTATTCCTCAAAAATGAAAAAAAAATAATAATAATAATAAAACTGCAGCAAAATGTTTAACTTAACGAGCAGACCTAACGGTCGTTAGCCACGCGGTAAAACAAGCTTTCAAAACACGCGTTTCTTTCATCCAATAAACAACAAAAACTTATATTCCTCAAAAATAAAAATAAAATAATAAAACGGCAAAATGTTGAACTTAACGAGCAGATTTGACGGTCGTTAGTCAAGAGTTGAAACAAACGTTCAAAACGCGCGCTTCTTTCATCTAGTAAAAACAATAGGCTCAAGAAAGAAAAGAAAATATTACTTTGAACACAATTTCAACAATAAATCCATGGAAAATTCATTTCAACAATAAAATATAAGTCCTTTTTTGCCAAGCATCATCACTCAACATTTGACACCAATTACATGACAAGAAATATCATTAATTCCATTGAACTTTTGACAAAAAAAATATGAATAAATGAAATAAAAATAAAAAACAAAAAATTTGGTTACCATGTGTACCTATTTTGGCCATACAGCACCACACAGCGCTGAATACAACACATGTATATTGGCCATACAGCACCACACAGCGCTGAATACAACACAGGTATATTGGCCATACAGCACCAGACAGCGCTGAATACAACACATGTATATTGGCCATACAGCATCACACAGCGCTGTATATTGGCCACACAGTTCCATACAAGACAAGCTTCTACGCAGCGCCCCAGACGAGGTAGACTTTCTACCCCAGCAATAATTCTACCTCAAGTATGAAGCGGTCTACTGCCCGGCCCCCCCTGCCACGGTCTACCCACTGCAGGGCATGTCCCCCCCCCTCCTTAGCCTCCCCCTCCATCATGTAATTAGGACATCCCCATTTTTTGGGCATGTACCCCCCATCATCTACCATTTCCCTCCTCTACTCCGTGTCGTGTTTGTCTNGCAGGCAACTCACCAGTCAGGGAGCTGACATTGTCAGGTAAGAAGGCAGGCAACTCACCAGTCAGGGAGCTGACATTGTCAGGTAAGAAGGCAGGCAACTCACCAGTCAGGGAGCTGACATTGTCAGGTAAGAAGGCAGGCAACTCACCAGTCAGGGAGCTGACATTGTCAGGTAAGAAGGCAGGCAACTCACCAGTCAGGGAGCTGACATTGTCAGGTAAGAAGGCAGGCAACTCACCAGTCAGGGAGCTGACATTGTCAGGTAAGAAGGCAGGCAACTCACCAGTCAGGGAGCTGACATTGTCAGGTAAGAAGGCAGGCAACTCACCAGTCAGGGAGCTGACATTGTCAGGTAAGAAGGCAGGCAACTCACCAGTCAGGGAGCTGACATTGTCAGGTAAGAAGGCAGGCAACTCACCAGTCAGGGAGCTGACATTGTCAGGTAAGAAGGCAGGCAACTCACCAGTCAGGGAGCTGACATTGTCAGGTAAGAAGGCAGGCAACTCACCAGTCAGGGAGCTGACATTGTCAGGTAAGAAGGCAGGCAACTCACCAGTCAGGGAGCTGACATTGTCAGGTAAGAAGGCAGGCAACTCACCAGTCAGGGAGCTGACATTGTCAGGTAAGAAGGCAGGCAACTCACCAGTCAGGGAGCTGACATTGTCAGGTAAGAAGGCAGGCAACTCACCAGTCAGGGAGCTGACATTGTCAGGTAAGAAGGCAGGCAACTCACCAGTCAGGGAGCTGACATTGTCAGTAGCTTTGGAGCTGCGGCTGGCACCTTTAGCACGAGGAAAAGAAATGTTAGGCTAAAATAAATGAAATTTTCTACTAAATAAATAAATAAGAATCTTGATAAACTAATGTCTACTGAATAACTCAGTTAAAACTAAGTGAATTGAACAAAATTCACAGTTATTATGATTAGAACAAAACTATCACCAAGTCAAAATTAATAAGCAAATTATAGAAGCAATTAAAGACAGAAGCTATACATCGTGCAAGTCAAGCACACCCTGCATTTTAGTATATATAATTAAATTAATCGAATAAGAGACTACGAGTTAGATAAGAGAGATGAAGCATGGCATAAAATACAGGAGAAATAACAGCTTGAACGTTTTACTCTAATGCTCGAAAAGAACAAACAAGATGAGGTAATAAAGAACAACCAGTATTACTATAAAACTAAGAATGAATAACAAATAACCAGAATAGTTTTCAGGAGTGAAATATTTTAATAAGGTGTATATAAATTACTAATGAATGTGCAATACAAAAGCGCTTACTCCTACAAATTCAGCCATGATTCATGCAGAAAAAAGTTTCGGGGAAAGGAATGATTGAATGGAAAATGTATTAATACAAATTACTGATAAGTAAGCAAAGATAAAATAAATTACTCTACCTTCAGCCATGAGGGAGGCAGACTGCTCCCAGTTGTGGGTGCTGCTGCTGGTGGCGTCCTTGCTCTCCGTAACACACGAAGGCTCTGCGTTACTCAGACATTCCTCACCCCCTTCCTCTTCTTCGCCCTTCTTATCTTTCCCACTTTTCTCCTCTTCTTCCTCTCCATCCTCACTCTCCTCTTCTTCCCCATCCCCTTCATCAGAGCCACCCTCATCCTCGTCAGGAGAGGCAGGGTCTTCCCCCAGGTCAGGGACGTAGAAGGCATCCTGCAGCTCCAGGGGCCCCATGAAGAGGATGCGCTGAGAGGAACTGTCATACAGCTCCAGGTATGGGTGGGCGCACAGCTCCCGCCGCTCTGCAACACAATAATATTCTTACACACTTGCTCCCTGTTAACAAAATACTTGCTCATTAAATACTTACATACACTCTTCAACACAATAGTATAGGCAAAAATAAGTACAAAAATGCCATCTCAATACTTGAAATAATTGCATCCAAACACTCAATAAATACTTGCTTTAAAATATTTGTCAATGCAATGACTACATTAAATTACTTTTCAGTAAAATACTTGCATCTAAACGCACAGCATAATCACTGCTTCCTCACCCACAAACTATCCTCACTCACCCACATACTCTCTGAGTGCAGGATACACTCTAAAGACAGCAAATATGCAGGATAAAGTGCTGCAGTAAGGGAAATCAGTGACCACTGCATGCTGTACGGCAGGCAGCACAACACGCTTGTAGCCGTTGGACTCGAGAAGTGTCACGTGCTCAGCATCTGCAGAGGCTCCATCCTGAGCCACCACCAGACCAACAATGTAGCGCAGGTTGTCAGAAGATTTCTGTGGCAGAAACGTTTGTCAGTTCATGAAATTTCAAAATCTTTGTTTCTGGATAACTGACTATGAGAGACTAATGTAACAGCATAGAACACTGCCATCAACATCCAGCAACCCAAGTTTGAGTCATCTTAATTTTTAATTTTAAAGAGAGCCTCGACAGGCTCACCTTCCTTGGGTTGCCATAGACCCCAATAGTGTGTTACTGAGGTATATGGTCTTGTTACTTCACATTATCTCAAACTCTGTGTCAATAGATACGTACATTCAACATTATCAATGCTTTTTGTATCCAAATTCCCAGTATGCAGAGTGATTTGATGCATTATTAAAATGAGCATTAGAGACTTACCTTTTCCGGATCATCATAGTAGACACCGATGGTGTTGTACTGCGGCAGCAAGCTGTGCGCCTCCGTGAAGAGGGTGCCTGAGCCACTGTAGGGGCCTCGGCCCAGCTTGTACATCACCACCAACTCCCCAAACTCAGGTCTGAAATATATAATTATTCAATTAACTAATTCAAGTTTATTCCTTAATTATTCATGATGATTTTAATATAATTTAAACCAGAAATTTATCAACAAGATTCTAGGAACCTGATAAAAGGATCAATTTAATATAAAAATCAAATTAATTGAACAACTTGATAATAAACCCTTGATCAATTAAAAAATAATCAATTGATTAACATCATCTTCAAAAGATATACAAGTCCCCAATCATGGAAATTTCCATCATTGATCTAAATGGTGTGAATGACCAGAAACTGATCAAGTTCTTGTGGTTAGCAGTATATAACAATCAAGTTTAGACTTGTTGTAACTGGCAACTTACATGCAATGCAGCCATATTCAATCCCAAATTTACCAGACAAACCAAGAGTTAAATGCAAGCTAGGGTTCAGGAAAGAACTATGACAGAAGAAGAGTAGAAAGGCAACTCACTTTTTAGTTTGTATGTTTATGACGTGGAAGAGACCAGCTTGCACACACATGAAGGCGACCACAATTATAACCACCAGCAGCAAGGCCATCAGCGTCACACCTGCCACAGCCTCAGGGCTCCATGTACTGAAGTCCAGCATGTTGGCACACTATGTGTCTAGTGGTATGATTGATTTATGTTTCAATGAAATCACAATAGCAAGAGATGTGAAACTGTAGATATATATCTGAAAATATAAGGAAACCATCAAGAATACTGTTAATTAAGATAGATAAATATATTTGTAAATGGCTCCTATAAAATTTTTTATAACAACAGAATTTATTAAAATCACACTTCAAACATTACACTCAAAACTTTTGAGCATAAAAAAATTAAATTCGAGTTGCTGAAGTTCTTACCAGAACTGAATTCCTACAAGTTAATCTAAAAACAGACACACGAGTCATCATTGTCATGTGGTAAAACCTTATATATACAGACCCAGGGCATATCATCTCATACTGCAATCATATCACCAAATGGCCTAAAGATGCCTATGCTCTTGGAGTATGGATAGATTACCTTATGTCACAAAGGCACATATGCTCTACTAGATCGGGAATGGCATTCTATATTTATTTAGAATTAAAGGCCCACAGGCAAATTACATGCAAATACATCCAGAATACCTTGACTATTGACTAATTTGGGCTACAAATTTAAATACAATCATTTGCCTAAAATAATACATTTCTATTTCTGCTCAAAAATTTGGAAACCATCAGACACCAGTGAAAAACTCATTTTACCAGCTTATTTTTAAAACTGGCAAAGTGGCAATATTCCTAAATTTGAACAAAAATTTAGAACCCTTCATTTTTGGTTGTCGCACACCAACTGAAAAATCAAGTCAATTATATGAATCCATTTCTCATTTCACATATTCAATGCCTAAATAAAGCATTTAAAATTCCACCCAGACCCAGTCATTTCTTGAAACCTGCAAGCATAGCAAAAGCAGCAAAGTAGAAAATCTCTTAGACGCATTTTAAAGTTCATTTTAGACCAGGGTAGAGAGCTTGCAAGCTGTGTAGCCAAAATGCAAATTTTTAGCCCAAAACATTGCCAGCCACTTTCAAGATGTGTAATTTTTAATAAGAAAATGCTGCTAACAACTTTGATAGTACGTCTATCCCGTACTCTCCACGCACAGCAACACTTACACTCATCGCAACTGATTTCCGGACAAGCTTCATTGCATTGTGATCCATTCAATGTACCGGAAACCTCACTGTGTGCGCTTGCGGTCTTTCAAATTTTAAACTATTTTCTAAAAGTTGGCCAAAGCCCAAAGATTGCAAATATCTAAAATACAATAATTTCAATCCAAATGTGTCTAAAAGATTTTTTGAAGGCATCAATTTTGCTGCTGATGCATTGCCAAAGATCTTGCAATATTCACCCACTTTCTGTACCCTGGATTTTAGAGTCCTACAACTTACAAGAAGACCATCAAAGTATCACAGATACGTACCACTTGGACCTTACCAGCATTATCATACACAATAAATTAGTTAAAATCATGAGTAGATGGCTGATGAAGAAATTAAAATTGAGCTGATTCTAAAAAATCTCTGGTTTGTCATGCCAGTTTGACTTTGACAGGTTTGTCACTACTCACTATGCCTGAATCCAAGGCTGAATTTCAACTAGTATAAAAATCCAGATTAATAAGATTATAGGACATAAGAGTGATAAGACATTATGTTTTTCAACAAATAATGCAGTTTTTCATAGAACATTGTGAGTTGGACATTGCTAACAATAACATCATATGCAAACTGCAAAGTTATAACCAAAATAATAAAATTACTGTTGAGTAAGCTGTGAGCAAAACTTTAAAAGAGTTGGATCAAACTCATTGTCAGTTATTTGTCACTAAACCTAATCAGCAACTCTAAACTCACTCAGTCTGAATCAGTCAATGCAGTGTTTTTCTCAACAACTGAACAACTAGGCCTACAACTCTACAAGTCTTGATAATTCAAGTTGACATTTTGACAATCAGACAATGGTCTATATCCAGTCTGTAGAGTATGGCACAACATAGGTCGAGGACGCCGTTTTTCTGCCCAAAAGACTCCAAGGCACCATCTAAACGGATGGTGGATGCCGATGTTTGCAGCAAATGGACGGCGAGGACGCCAAAATTGATTGCCCATGGTCTGGAAGGTGTTGCGACTTGCGTGGGCGCCGGAAGTTTACCATGCACACCACCAGTACGCCAGGGAAGAAAGTTGCCAGTACGTTTGCTAGAAATACGAAAGTGCATCTCTGACCGATGCCTGATGATAGCGCGTACTTGCACGATCAATGCGGCAGTTGCAAGATGATCGACATAGACACCTGCGCTTCACAATCAATGATCAACATAGA